AAAAGCCATCCTTATCGGATACCCCTCATTCCTCAAATCTATTCTAGTACCTCCCGATCTTCTCTTGAATAACTCACCTATCTCCTTCCATACTACCGTTAAAAACCTTGGCGATAGCCTTGATCAAACCCTCTCCTGGAAACCACACATCTTTTTAAATTTTTTGCTGTACTGTCTGCATCCTGAAACAGTTTAACCATCTACGCTATCTCCTTCCATACAAAATTAGTCAACTCCTGATTTTATCTCTTGTTTTCTCCCACTACTGTGGCTGTATGGTGTATAGTGGACTCCCGGGAAAACTCGGAGCCAAACTCAATACACTTTATCATCGGGATCTCAAGGGATACGCATATTACCCAGTATCATACCGAGTTGAAGTGGCTTTATTCGTCCTACTGCCGTTAGTATTGTCTTGCTACTTTCCTATACTAGGCTATCAGAAATCGGCGATCCTCCTATATTCTGCAGATCCTAATTCAAATCCTTCATTCAATACTGTTCCACCAGATCCCGTACGTCTGACCTCTATCCTCCTCCTCATCGAACTGCTGCATTTGACAAATCTTTTTCTGGAATGCTATCCTTTCTGATATTCGACTTGCAAAGTCGGTATCCCGTATCAAAACTCTCCTCTTTAAGCACCTATTCCATTCTCAATCTGTTTGATCATGAAATACACTTGAAAATCCAAGTCCTAAGACTCTCCAAGTAACCACCCCTCAGATACTTTGATTATTTTATGATTTATTGATATTTTTCTCTGTTTATTTTGTATTTATGTACATTTTATATGTTTTCATTATCTGAACTTTTATTTTATTACCAATCATTTTGTAAATATTTAATTTTATCTTATGGACACACCTACATGTTAATCTATAATCTGTATTTATAGATTGTTCTAAAGGGACACTAGCCCCAAAATAAGAACATTATTTTCATCCATTCATTTACTTTATAGAGGCTGGGTGTGCCCCAGAAAGATCACCCAATCCCAAGGTCGATCCACGGCCGGAGAAACTTTTTTTTTTCCTACCTCGCATTGCTGCCATACAGGGTTTTGGTAGCAGTGGGTTAATACGTTTGGGTTCTTGTATGCCCACTGCTGCCAATAAACAACACTTTATTAATAATCATTTATTTTTACATTAATTTAGGAAAATTTAATTTTTGGAACAATCAATCAACTGGGTTAACTGTGGTGCTGCCCGGTATACGGTTGTGCACGTTTATGATGGGGCCGCACCGCATCCGTCCGGTCCTTCTTCAGTGTGCTTCTTCGGCCTCCTCACTTGATCTTCTTGCCGCTCCCAGGAAGAAATGTGCAGGGCCGATCGTATCTCTCCACCTATACACAAACTCCCGAAAGAGCAGCTAATTTTCCTTCTCCACTTTTTTTCACATTTTCCTTCTCAGGCGGGGAAAATCATTTTCTGTCTGGGTATACCTTCCCATCCCTCTCACCAATTTTGTACGGCTTCTCGTCATCTCGGTGCAGGATACTAGGATGTGTTTGGCCATCTCAGGAACTCCGCAGAGAGGGCAAAGATCGATATTCTTTCCATGGGCATCATGTTTTCCCTGGAACCCTCCATGTCCTGTGAGATCCAGTAATCAGAGAGGACCCATATTGTATTTAATCTTGCCAGGACGGTGGGGAATAACTTCCTGAGGATAGACCCTTTCTGGCTTGTCCCCCACCGTCTGTTCCACTCTTCATTGGACTCCTCCCTGATGATCATTTTCCATTGGTTTGGGTACTCACCAATTCTCTCATGGAGCCCCTCCGCCAGTGTGTCCAGCCTATGTCTCTTGAAGTAGAATTTGGTGGTATCCTCCTTGTGGATTAGTTCCAGGGCCATCTTTCCGGCCAGCAACTGCACCGCTTATCCAGATGGCAGCTCCACGCTGGGGAAGTGTACTTCATTATACCCACCACAACTCCCTTGTAGATGACGCTCGTGGCTAGATACTTAATGCCCAAAAAGCCATGTCAGACCATTCAGTGACAGGGTCACCCTATTCTGCAGATATTCAATCTGGGTAGAGATGTCACACCTTGGTAGAGATGGAGACACTCACCCAGGCGGACTCTCTTCCCTCCGACTCTAAAGCTGATAGGGTAAGCCCTATCAGTGGAGCCTTTCAGCAACATGGTCTGAGTCTTTGCCGCCGCCATGTTCATTTTCATCTTTACACAACATCCTTCAACTATAGTGGCGCACCTCTCTCCTTCCACCACCAATCTCGCCCCTGTTCGTCGCCACGATGACAAGGTCATCCACATATGCTACGGCACCGAAGACCGCTACCTTCAGTTCCCCCAGAAATTGGTCAAACAACAACTTCCACAGGGCCGCTCCCAGAACCGAGCCCTGTGGGCATCCTCTTTCTTACGACAGACTCTTCACTATGAGGTGCTCCAGGACTTTATTCAAAACAGAGAGGAAGCATATCAGCCTATATGAATTCGATAACTCGTCCTTTCCTTCCCCCTTATACAGCAGTCTAAGTTTGGCGATCTTCCATTGCATTGGGAATTGCCCCATATCCAAACAAGCGTTGATTATTTCTAGTATCTCTTCTTCTATGAAGGAGACACTCCTCTTTAGGATCGCCGCGTCAATGACGTCGAGTCCTGGATCTCTTCTTATCCTTTGCCTGTCTATCGCCATCTGCAGGTCCCATTCGTCCCATGGTGGCATAAACTCGGTACCAGGCGGGTATTCTGTTGTCTGTCGCAGAGCCTCATCTTCCTCGTTATCCTGGGACGGGTCATCCCTGGGGTGCGTCTGATCTAGGTATCTTAAAACTGTTTCCTCCAAGGTGGCTGTTATTCCTCCTTCCGATCTTTTCGCCGCCATCACTTGGACTGGTCTAAGCTTAGCCATTGCAACCCTGTACTGTATTCTTCAGGGATTCTGCTCAGTTTTTGTTCTTATGAACCGTCCCAGAACAAATTTTCTGGCCTTGCACTCCGGCCTTGTATCTGTTCTAAATGCATCTGCATTCGTCTGGAGTGCCGCCTTCCTGCCAATCTGCCATCTTTGTGCTGAACCTCACCTTTTTATCGCCATAGTGGTGTTCGGCTTGTAGTTCAAACCTTATCATACTGTGGTCGGAGCTCATATCAGACCTTACGGACCAGTCATTAATACTTCTCGACATGACAAGAGTAACCAGGGTGACATCAATCCAGCTTTGACCTCTTGCATCCACAAAGGTGGGTGCAGAGGGTTCGTCCATCTGGCCAGCCAGTCCTCGTCTGTCATGCCCCTTGTGTCTCTTCTAACTGATTATCAGGCTGCGCACCACGAATTCGTGTCGGAGCAGACTATTACATTCCGGAGTGCAACAGCTTCTAAGGCAGCAATGTGCTCTTCAATAGTCTGTTTAGGCAGCATGTATGTGGACACCAGAACGATTGTCACATCCCTCCATCTAACATAACATGCCACCTGATCTGCTGTCATGTGCTGCCTCAGCTGCATTACGTCGGATCAAATACAACAATATCTTTTCTGGACCTGCGTCTTTATTTCCTGGAGGTGTGCCGGGAGAACCCTGCTACTGGCACTATGTTTTGTGCCCTCATATCTCTCTGCCATTCTGCAGTTCTTGCATTCGGGAGGGGGGAGGGGGAGAGATTATTCTTGTTGGGGCATTCCACCGCCTTATGTCACTCTCCCCCACACCATCAATTGGTTATTCACACTTGGCCATCATATATTCGTAAGCCAAGCATTTTAGGCAGTGGGGACATTAAGATAGTCACAGACATCTAGTCCACCACCCTTCGCTAATCTTCTCTCCTTTGAGGATGTCCCTTGCTGCGGGGTGAACCTCTATCACCCCTTTCTTAAGGCCACCCCTGTCAGCTGTTCAAAAACAAGGTCTGAACCACTCCCTGCCCTCCTCCTGGCCCCCTTCAGCCCTCGCTGGTCCAATTTTTTTCATATGACCCTCTCTAGGGTACTTTCATCCCAATCTTTGAGGGCTCCTTTTACCTCTAGCTTTGGCCTCTTTGTTCTGGCTAGTCTATCCATAAGGCCTTTCTTTCCCATATTCTTCCACTTGATTAACTTCATTGCCTTGTCAGAACCTTTCATTTTGACTGATTTGCCAGCGTGGGTAACTTTTACTATTTCTACCTCCACTCCTGCTCCCTTCAGCTCACTTTCACCTGGTAGTTGCCTCCAAATTTCCGCATGGTTCCATCCCTGAGCTTCGCCCCTTATAGTAACATACGCTGGGGCATCAATAAGAGCCCCAGATGCTTTCTTATTCCCGACTTCCTTCAGGATATGTGAATACGTCGGCACTTCCACTTCCTTCTTCTTCTGCTTCTGCTCTCTTTAAGAAGGACTACAAACCCTTCTGCATGACCTTCACTATTTTCCACTTTCCGGTCTTTATCTCCATTCCTTGCAACCTGTACGTCCTTCCTCAGACGGGGGGTTTCCTCATCTGATTCATACGGCCGGAGAAACAGAATAAATAATTTATCTCATATAAGCCGGGATTTGAACCTGGGACCTTCAGCATTGGAAGCTCAGTGCCCCACAGCTGAATTACCTCACTCCCCTAAATATATGTGCTAAATTTTTTTTTCTGTTGTCATTACAGACCTTTTAGATCTTTTGCTGCCTTAACTAGCCTTCTACATCTCTTCCTATCTTGGGCTATTTCTTTCCAGTTATCTGCATACTGCTGTTTCACGTCTTAAAAATTTCTATATATATTGAATTTTTTTGAGAGAACCTTCATGTTTGATGTATAGAGATTCCACTGTATATGTTTTATTTCCAATATTGTTATGGTTCTTAGAGTTATAATTTATTGTTGAAGTATAATAATTTAGTTGGAATTAATATAAAGTTTTAATTTTACTGCTTATATTCACAATTATTTATTATAGATTCTGTTTTTTTTTTAGCATTAGGAATATTTATTTCTTAATATTTTATATTGAAAATAAAATTGGTATCATGTTCTAGGATAACTAGTTACAGTGCTATTGTAATTAAGGCTGCTTCTAATTTCATTTCTAATGCATATCAGCATATCAACGAGAATGGTAATTTGGCAAAAATGATGGTATGTATTTATTTATTTAACATATTTTATTTTTATAAATAAAAATACTAGTAGAGTCATTAAATAATATTTAAATAAATTAAAATAATAGCAGTAGAGAGTCATTTTTATAACCTACTGCAGGGGTCTCCAACCTTGTGCCCGGGTAACGTCTCTCATGCCTGCAAGCAAAATTCTGCCCGTTATGTCTATAATAACCATTATCGGCGATAACCCTGGCAATAGTTTTACAATTGCCTGCTGCAGACAAAATATTGATTTTATAGTTTAATAAATATATAATAATGATTTGTAAGTATGAGTGATTACTTTGAAAATAGTAAGTTATTTATATTATATTATTTTGTGGGTTTTTTTCAAACATCATGTTGTTTTACATGGTATCCTGCAGACTGATAAGTTTTCAATTCCATTTTTTTACAGTTTTCTTCTTAGATTGTCTGTTTATTACAAAAAAGACTTAGGTTCATTTTTGATAGACCTGAATTCTTAAGAACATTTTTTTGAATTTTGACCTTATTTATTGACAAAAACCCACAGTAAGTGTATTAAAATGAGCCACACCCTTTTATATATCTAATCTTCTTCTTCAATAACAGCAAGCATTGTATAGTATCTTCTTAACTTCTTCCAATGCAATGATACTGCCATGCATCTCTATTCTGTGTCCCTGCCATCCAATGCTCACATTAAAATATTTTCTTGCGTCATGGACTACACAATCTTCCCACAGCAGCTTACGACTCTTTAACGGCTAAAACGGGGCACAACCAGAATCTTTTTGGGAGGTAGATCATCAAGTATTCTGGCGAGATGTCCTACTCTTCAGAGGCTTCCATGCTTGATGGAACAGGAGATATCCATCCAGCTCATGATATAGTGTACGATCTATATCATGAGCTGGACGGATATCTCCCTATTGTTTCTCTACCATCATTCATTATTCTTTTGCATACCACCATAAATTTGGTGGAACACTTTCTGTTCCAATTTGAGATGGAATTTGTCTTCAGCTCTGGTTGTGTTCCATGTATCAGAGCCTTAACATATCTTTATTAAGTTTTATTCAGATGATTATGAAATCGCTGGAGTGGTACTTCCGGAGTCTAAAATAGCAGTGATTGACAGCCATTATTCCTCTCCTAATCTCCACTGCAACATCATTATTACATGTTACCATTGATCCAAGGTAAGCAAACTCTAAAACCTACTGAACAAACCTGTAGAGCCCAAATTAAACATTGGTAGCTGTTGATCTCAGAGTTTGATCCAGGACCAAGTACTTGGTTTTAGGTTCATTCAGGATAAGTCTAATCCATCTCACGACAGCTTCTAGATGTCGAAACACCACAACTACCATTGCCTGGATCCTCCCACAGTATCTGTGTCATTTGCATATGGTAACCTATGTACCGATTCGTTTGAATTGCCGGAAGTTTGAACATGAGATTCCCTTATTGCTTTCTGTTTTTGCCAAGAGAATAGAATAGAAAAATAAAGTTTATTCGGGGACAAAATCCCCAAAGAATGACAATAATTAACAAAATAAAAAAAATCCATATATAGCCAAGAATTAACTTTAAAAAAATTCTAACAATATATATATATATATATATATATATTATAAGGTCGTAAGGGATTATAACGGTCTTTGCTCAAATTTATGTTTATGTCGATCTTTTGACGATTGATTGACACATTTATGAACAATAAAAGTAATAATAATAAAAGGTTGAATCTCAATAAAATATGGTCTTAAGACTGATATATCGGTCTTTAGAATATCACTATCTGCTTAAATTTATGATTTAGAGTGCTACCAGTGGGTAGTTTCTCAACAAACGTGTATCATGTAATAATATTTCTCTGTACAAATTTACTAGATGTATTCATACTAATACAGTTGTAAATATCATAATAAAAGTTTAAAAAAAAAAAAAAAAAAAAAAAAATTGGAAATCGTACAGTGTCACAATTGCCAGGCATATGGCCATACCAGGACTTACTGCCATCATCTGCCGCGCTGTGTGAAATGTGGAGAGCAGCACAAATCCGGGGAGTGCACAAAACCGAAACGGGATCCTGCAGTTTGTGCATTGTGCCTTGAAGGACATCCAGCGAACTACAAAGGCTGTCAGATCTACAAGAATATTAAATCAAGATATCAAAAATCCCGGACCTAAGAAGAAGCAGAGGCATCCAGAAGAGAACCTAACGCATCAAGAAGAGGACCTTAAAAAAAAATTGACCCAACTGTGTCTTTTGCACACTTATTAGGAGGTAAGAATGATGTTACTTATTGTGAGACCCTGCCGCAACAACAACACATACCTCAAAATTCTCAACCCCACCCTCAACATCCTAATCAAACTTCACCTAATCAACAGTTTTATCAACACCAAATTCCCCGCATTCCTCCTCCCTCAAATACCACAGATCTCACCAGTTTACTTACATCTTTCCTCTCCGAATTCAGATCCCTTGTTACTCCTTTGATATCTCTTCTCACCAATCTTGTATCACATTTTATCCCTCCCGCGAAAAATCCTTAAATGACTTCCAATAAACCTTTATCCATTCTCCTTTGGAATGCGAATGGTGTTAGGAATCATACAAACGAACTAACTACATTATTACTTGACAAAAATATTGACGTGGCACTAATTACTGAAACTCGACTAACCACTAAACAGCACTTCAAAATACCACAATACCTGACATATCGTACTGACCACCCTGACGGAAAAGCACATGCCGGTACTGCTGTCATAGTACACCAATCCCTCTCCCATCACCTACTCCCGTTACCTACACATGATTTCCTACAGTCCACCGCTATCGTGATAAAAACCTTTTCCTTTCCGGTTACCCTTGCATCAGCGTATTGCCCTCCTAACCGATCCATATCCAATGCCCAATTCCGTTCTCTCCTCGACTCCTTAGGACATCACTTCATCTTGGGTGCAGACCTAAATGCCAAACATCAACAATGGGGTTCCAGAACCACGAATACTCGTGGCCGAACCCTGCTGTCTGCACTCAATTCCCAACATTTTCACCTCCTTTCCCCCAACTCTCCTACCTACTGGCCTACAGATCCCAACCGTAATCCTGATCTTCTTGATTTCTTTATCCACAGCGGCTTAAGTCCCCTCAATTGTTCCATTACACGTCTAAATGAACTTTCCTCTGACCATAGTCCTCTAATCCTTAATGTTTCACTTGAACCCGTTCCCAAACCTTCTCCACCGTCATTTATTAGGGGCCCAGTTAACTGGGACCTTTTCCGCCAAATCATCTCCGATAAAATTGATCTTAACATATCCCTCAAAACTCCCGATGACCTTGATAGTGCCGTAAATTCCTTTACTACCACAATCCAACAAGCCGCCTGGACTGCTTCCTTCCCAAAAGACTCCTCCAGAATTCCTAAAAAGACCATTCTACCCCAACACCTCCTTGACCTAATCCAAACCAAACGGCGTGCCAGATTATTGTGGCAACGTACCCGACATCCTACCGACCGCTGCTCCTATAATTATTACTGCAAAAAATTAAAACTGGAATTAGCCACCTTCAGATCACATTCCTTCAACTCCTACCTATCCTCCCTTTCTTCTCGCGACAATTCCCTTTGGAAAACCACTACCAAAATCTTAAATCCTCACCGCATTTCCCATCCCCTCCGACGAGATGATGGCTCCTGGGCAGCATCTGACGAAGATAAGGCTGAAGAGTTCGCCATTCACCTATCCAATACATTTATTTCACATCCGGAATCCCATCCTGCCCACACCGTAACAGTAAAAGAACTCCTTACATCACCAATCCCACTTTCCTTGCCCCCAAAAGCTATTCATCCTTCCGAAGTGAAATTTCAATTAAAAAAATTAATCCCCCGTAAAGCTCCTGGACATGATCTCCTTACCCCTCAAATCCTTCGACAACTTCCATCCAAAGCAGTCATATTCCTTACATATATCTACAATTGTATCCTACGCACCACCCACTTTCCTCTGCTATGGAAACACTCCACTATTATCCTTTTCCAAAAACCAGGCAAACCTCCCAATATCTCAACATCCTATAGACCAATTAGCCTACTCCCAATCCTTTCAAAAATTTTTGAAAAGATCCTTTTGAAACGAATCCTACCCATTATAGAATCCCAAAATATTCCTTCCCATCAGTTTGGTTTTCGCTCCCAACATTCTACTGTTCAACAAGAACTCCGAGTTGTTGATCATATTTCCTCAGCCCTAGAAAACAAGGAATACTGTTCGGGTGCATTTCTGGACATTGCACAGGCATTTGACCGGGTATGGCACTCCGGACTGCTCTTCAAGCTTAAAATCCATTTACCACAGTCCTTATACCTAGTCCTCCGATCCTACCTCTCTGACCGCTCCTTCCGAGTTCGCTGTGGAACAGAATTTTCCAATATCTACTCCGTTAAAGCCGGTGTTCCCCAAGGCAGCGTCTTGGGTCCCGTGCTTTACATCCTCTTTACTGCTGACATCCCTGTTCATCCCGATACTTTTCTTACAACATTCGCTGACGACACCGCAATCTTATCATCCAACTCTGATCCCAACATAGCATCCTTAAATCTCCAAAACCACCTCACCTTGATTGAGCACTGGTGTAATAACTGGCGCATTAAAGTTAATGAATCTAAATGCCAACATATTACCTTTACACTCCGACGCAGTTGCTGTCCACCAGTACACTTTAATTCCATCCAGCTTCCTTACTCAGACACAGTCCGGTATCTTGGCTTTCATTTAGACCGAAGACTAACGTGGAACCCACATACTAGACTCAAAAGACAAGAACTCAACCGACGATACGGCCAGCTATACAGACTACTAAGCAGAAAATCCAAACTTTCTATTGAAAACAAATTACTTATCTACAAGACAATACTGAAACCTATATGGACATACGGACTTGAACTGTGGGGGACAGCAAAAGCTTCTAACATCAAACGTATTCAATCCTTTCAATCTAAAGTCCTTCGAACAATAGTTGATGCTCCATTCTATGTAAATAACAAAATCCTACACCATGACCTTAATATCCCATTTGTCCTAGACCTTATTCCAGAAAAATTCTCCAAATTTCACCAGAACCTTACCTATCATCCAAATCCCCTTGCACAATCTCTATCCAGCACCACC